TCACGTCCAAAAGTTAATGTTTTTATATATTAAATGTAACTTATGAAGTTACGGGCCGTTACTTAAATTGGCAGGCCTTTGTATAATAATTCACATTTATGGGTGATCAGTAATTTTAATGAAGTTTATTATATTTCCAGCGGTATGTCCATATGAGATATATAATGGAAACATGGCTGTGGCCTACTAATGTAGATAAATATTTTATGGTTGAGTTATCGTAACAACAGGCAATTGAGAACAAGAGACGTGTGTTTGTAGCAGTGTATTTGCGGGCTCTTATCAGTGTGTCTTCCTCTGAAGTAGTCAATGCCATGCCCGTTTTTTAATAACTTTGACAGTCATTCGTAGTAAACTTACAAACTATGGGAATTAGAAAAGAAACGTAAATAGTATCGAAAACTAATTGAAAAATAAAGTTGTCGTTATTCTCTTCACAAAATAGCAATCCTAATGATATTTGTTCGGTTACTTTTGTTGCTTACTTTGCCTTCGAGGTAAAACGAAGTACTACGACGGATATTGAAAATTTACAAAATTAAAGCTTTCTATAAGACAACTATCATCTTAAGAAACGCTTTAATTTGGACAAAATATACGATTCCGTTCACTTCCACACAAAAATATGTCTAAGGATTAGGTCGTGTCGGTTGTGATGGAGAATTCCCGTGAGATTTCAATTCGTGCCAAGGAACAATTGAGTTACACAAAAAGTTCTAATAATCCCGTAGAACTGGAAAATTTACTGAATAAATCATTCACACCAAAACACGCAATTTTCAGTATTCACCAAGTTGAAATAATTCGAAAAGGCTTTTCTGACTATAAACGGAGGCGGGTGGCTAATGCGTCCCACATAATGCTAAATCCCTCTGCCCTTAATGAGAAGGAGGGTCTGAATATTAATTAAACCTGGTCTGTTTTTCCAGACAACCACATTTGACGTTACTTTTATCGTTTTTACTCACACACACGGACACATAATCTCAACCCACTACTTCATATCACATATGCGCACATTATTCACGCCTACAATCTGACACACAAATTAATGCAGTAACAGGCCACACAAATTCACCTTGACTGAAATTACTCGACATTGTTTCCTCTGAACTATTTGATCTTGTGTCAACCTAATTTCAGTTACCTCTTAAGTCTGAAGAAGTGGCTCAGATTAAGTCACGAAACATCAGAAATACAATTTTTCTACTTATTAGGATACAACAAAAATACATTTATCATTAACTCACTACCCAATGCCCAATCTACTCGAAACTATCAAGTTTTGTGCTGTCTTTGTTCTCATAATATATTTTGACCTAAATAGGATCAGAGACATTCATTCTGTCTGCAACTTTTGTCCTTTGTCTCCTTCTCGTAATTGCGGTTTTTTATCCCCTGATGTGATCCTGTTTTATTCGACCGCTGGATTACATAGACTGTATTACTGAGTGACCGTAGTTCATAATAACTAATGTTTAACAGGTTGATTCGAATAGTCCTAAGGGTTGCAAGTCTCCTTTTTGTGCTGACAGAGATGAGAATTGCAGTTAAAAATATCGATTACCTATTTTCTGGGTCAGTTGACTGAAATATCTACTATGACGTGCTCTTGGTTAACAGGGCCATTACTTGCTCTCTAACAAGCAAATATTTCTTGGTCATTTGAAGATTTATTGACTTGACGTACTTTTTATTTCACCACTAAACCTTCTTTGAATTGCTTTTTGTTTAATTTGTTTAAATATTTCCCGCAATTTGCAGTCGTGATTAATATGATTAGAACCGTGCCCAACGCAAAACTAGTGTCTTAAATTAATTTGCTGGTAAAAGCTTGTATTCGACGTCTCACTGGTGGTTATACTAGTCTAAGGGCTTTTAAACCAAGTACGGTCGGGTCGTATTCACTTGCAGGAAAAGGGACAAATATATACGTTTCTTTTATTAGTTTGTAGTGGCATTAGACCATAACCACACAATCCTCAAAGCTGAACACGAGACAACTCGGAAAATAGATATTCAATATTTAACGCGGAGAAATACTTAACGATGGAGAAGGCAGGAACAAGGAGTCGAATTAATTGAAGTTGATCGAATGGCATTGCTCGGCCTTGCGGGCGTGGTCCTTGTTGAATTTTATCTTATATCTTTCATTCATATCAAATATATTGTTTTATCTCTAGCTTAAGCTTGTTCTACATCACGTAATGGTGATTGTTACGATGAGATGAGTTGATGAAGACGATGGTATGACCTCCACGTAAGATCTTATAGATTAGGCAGTTATATCATGACAAGTCTACAATTTTAGGACTAGGTCTATTATCAGTGCAGTACTAATATCGTAGTAGACCATAATTCTGCAAGTTACGTCTCAAAGGTACAATAATCGGAGGCTTATAAGCAATGACTCCCTGGTTTGCTCCGCTCTAACTTGGTGACCAGACTGACTCGACTCCCCATTACTCCTAGAGAGCCGATAAATTTTGAAAAATCTATTCGAGATGACACTCTACAGAGAAGTCATTTACAAGGGGCAAGTGGTCTGCCATATGTACCGCAAGTATTTCTCTTGGTGGTCACTTCAAACTGACCAGCCCCGACTTCTAACTTTAATTAACTACTGAGCATTATGCATTCAGTGTTTTAAGTCTGGATAACACTTGATTAGACAGATAATCTGGTCAGGGCTTATAATCATTTAACTGACGCTGCAGCTTTTTCCACTCAGTGTTGCAGGTCAGGTTTTCGAATCCTTTTGATTTGAGCAGTGTTAAATCTAATCTATCTTTAGCCTGGGTAACAAGAATAAAATTTGACGGGTCTAAAGCCCAAAATAAAGCAAAAATCGAGAGAATTTCTAGTGCATTCGTGAGCCCCATATCCCTTTCATTCAATAGCCGAGAGGTTGATTTCATTACAAATATTCAAGATCACTATCGGAACCTAAAACAAATCCTCAAACTCAAAAGCTCGAATGGAGCCAGGGATAGTAGTTGCGCATGTCAATAAACCATGGTTGAATACTCTGAAAAAAATCGAACTCAGTTGAATAGGAATACTCTCAAGAAGGACGAGAAGAAGCAGTAGACAGGCTGCTTAGAAGTAAACTACAATTTACCATCAGGATGAAGACTTTGTGATCAGAAAGCATAGTCGTTTAATCAATTATTTTATGCTGGCGTTATGTTTCCTGTTTTGTCTTATTGAGTGTTGAAAGTTTTTGTGTTTAGCTACTGATAACCTACTCTGTACTTGCTCCCTACCTTCGTTTCAGTAAACAGTCTAAGAATGAAGATCTACGATGTAGTACTAAGAAGCAGTTGTTAGGGATCTTAAAACTCTGGTAACTGACAAAGTGCTTAGGTACTCAAATGTCAAGACTTATTGATATTGTTTGCATTAGTTGCTACCGGAAAACTACTGTAATAAGTGACGGGAACGATGATTCTCTCTTTACATTAAATCATGTATTTGAGTAAGAGACAGACGGTCTAAGCTTTATCAAAAGATAGAGACCACGAAAACACATACTGTTTTCGTGGGTTTTTCTAATTCACTTAAGTACACATGATTGACAGATACAACTAATTAACAAGAACAAATCCGAAGTGCAAGAGACTATGGTAGTAACTAAAAATCTTGAATAGTGGCACTCCAAAGGTCTAATAAACCTCGGATTTAATTATATAACACCCCTATGACAAAACTAGTAACAATCCGAGAAGGCTTTGCTGAGTAGAAAACTATGATAGTTATTATTGAACTTATTAACATTACTAGATTAGTGATGACAGTCTAAAACAGTTTAATGACCATTGTTTGACTGTCTATTCTGAACGATCTTACACCGGAGCCGCAGCAGTATACGTCGTGTTCCTAACTGTCATGTCGATTAGGCTTTGCTTCTGCTGAAGGACGTTTGAATAACAATTGTAACCTTATCAACGTAACGAAATATTTGTTATGAAGACGAAAGGGGCTCGTGGATGTGCAAATCCCACATTGTTGAATCAATAATTATCCCACACTAACCTTCCTCGAACCCATCCACTTCTAACCAACCATTCAACATCCAGTACATAATCTTCCATGGTCAGCACATTCAGCACGAAAGATCATTTGAATAAAGATGAATGCTCGTCCACTGTCACTAGAACTTAAAAAAAAGAAACCCAATGGACCCCTGGAATCTCTGAACATTCATATCGCTGCGGATCAACTAATCTAAATTTCTTCTTATCATCATGAGAAAACCTAGGACCTAGCCACTATCTTAATAATGATTTAAAATTAATATGCTCCGATTGTTATACATGTCAAGACGGGAAACGTGGGAAAAAACATAAAAGATACTCACAACCCTTGAATAAGCTTCTTTTTCGATGACTAATAGGCTATGTATCTGGTTTTACATAACGTCCACTTTCTGCATCAACACGTAGTAACGATGTTTTTAGTACACCCAACCAAAGCAGTAACAAACCCTTCGGTGGATAGGTTCAAGGAAAGTTTGGCAACCAAGTACTCACCAATGGATTATCATCCACTGCCTGAATTGGTTGTACCTAGCACATGTCCTACAACTTATTTACTATTATTATTATTATTAGCCCGTACCTAAAGACGATTTCGATCCATCTCACTTATCAACTGTGTTTAACGGTTATTCCCATGCTCCTGTTCATTCAAACTATAAAACTAACCGATAGAATTATTTATTTACTTACGACCTTTTATCTTCTCCCTACTCTTGTGCATTAGAATCCTTTCATTATTTTTCATCCTGCAACTGACTAGCCTTCTTCCTGGAAATGTGATTGCTGCTGGTCCCAGAAACCTCAGTGCCTTGAGACAAGCGCGTTCACTCAGGTTTATAAATACACAAACACACAAATAATAATCAAACTGACCAGATCCAATACAGTCATGTGGTTAGACAACCCCCGTTTGACGACATCAAAGATCTGGAACATTAAAGAAACGAAAACGGGTGAGAGCGAAAATATCGTCTGGTTTATACTAGCTCGTCAAAAAGACATTGGGTATTGGAAACTTCTCAATTTTTTCTGTCTGTATAGCTACAGAGCTATGGTCATTTCTTAAAATAACCTAATGTTCAAGGCTTTCGGTTCAGCCATCAAAGAATGACTCGCAGTTGAAATATTTTTTGATTAGTCGTGTTTTCTACCCATTGTGTTCCGCATTTCTATCTTCCATCATAAAAATCAGTACAGATAGATAGATAGATAGAGAGTTCACGGGTGTTTGGTCCTTGGGTAGTTCGTTCAGAGCTTCTGTACGTGAATGGCTGTGACGCCTTTCTTCAGTTTACGCAACTTAGTCCTAAACAAGTGCAATAATTTTTTACTTCCTGGTGAGTTCGATGTAAGATTAAATACGTTTTTCGTCACTCTGTTTCTAATTACTACACACAATAGACATGAGTTATCACTTATTTGAGCCTCATAAACATACGTCAGTAGCGTACCACATGGTTTGCTTTGACGATATAACCATGGTGGCTGCTATTTACACAAAACATCCTTGTGATTATTTTATGGTAGCTATCCTTTCAAAACATAGTTTATTAGTCATTTGGTTGAATAAACTGGTCCGTTGTGAACAAGTTATACATTTATTATGTTTTGCTTTGAGTTTTGTTTCGTCCAGTATTGAAAAATGTTTTTGGCAAGGAACAAAAAATGACTGTAGCCGGCATACGATTTTTAAAGCCTTTCTACATGGTCTTAGCGAGCTATATGGCTGTGAAACCATGTAGAACAAGTGATATTTATTCTTAGTCTTAAATGAATTTCTTAACTCAAAGTTGACGTGTTTAAATATGTTGCAGCTAAACTGTGGTTGTTTGGTAGTTTAATCCCTAGTGAAATGAACTATAATCTCTAGGGATTTATTTGTTTTGAGTTTATTGGCGTGTATTAGCTCAACTGTTAACTTTTCTGTTATCCGGTAGTTCTTACCAGAATTTAATCTTATTCAACTAATCCTATTCACCTTTATTCTCTAGTGATTGGTTAAAAATCAGACATAGAAAACAATCTCGGTTCATTACACTAATAAGCTTCGAAGTTTTTTTTGTCAAGCAGAGGTAATAGGATTTGTGTGAACTTATTCTAATACCGCTCTTCAAAATACACCATAAGTATATTGGAACAAAAGAGCATCCTAAGATCTTATGTTGCCAGCAGACTAGGCTTCACATGTACTACATATTTAGAACAGGTAGTTTGTATATTACATAGCTAACGATAAAGTTTGCCTTGTTGGTAGGTAGATAAGTAACCTAAAGCGACTGGTCTTCAGATATTGTGGTGGCTGTCACGCGTAAGTACTTTACTCAGTACTCTTCAGTTTTAGAAAGTTACTGGGTAGAGACTAAAAGATTAGTTTCATGACTAAATCTAATAGCTATGGCTTATATTCTGTTTATCTCATGATTGGTTCATATCTTGTTATTTCACTTCATTTGCCGTCCTATTATACTGTTTTTTGACATCTCTTGCTGCCGTTTTTGTTGAACCGTTACCCTTTGGCAGATTTTCTCTGGAAGTAATTTTGTTAATTCAGTCTTGTGACGATTTTCAGTTTGTTCAGTCTATGTTTATTCTTTCCCATGCCTGGTAGTTCGGGTAACAAACTGAGGGGACTTCTAGTTACGTCTCCTCAAGAAACAGATTTTTGTGTTTCTGATATTTGTGTTAAGTATATCCTCTACTCGATTGTACAAATAATTGTGTGTGAATCATTACAAACGTCTCAATTCATATGCGAAATTTATAACCGGAATTCATCGGTCTAATTTAAAGCAATAGGGGTATGGTACCTAGCTGTGATATACACTTAAATTTCGTTCTGTAACTTCAACTAGTTATATCATACTGGATTCTTGATTTATAGTCTGATTTCTATATCCTTAAGTTCCCCATGGCTTTATAGAGTTCTGGTGATGTGAAACAGTTTCTGATTACTACTTTTATTTGATGAATGTTACTATTTAAAAACTGACTGGTATGTGGCCAGACTAAACAGTAATTCCAGTTTCACTGCTTTCATGTCTTATCTAAAACTTTATAAATGAATATACCTGGATAGTTAGTGTAATTTTTTGTTGGGGGAAACATGTTGATCTTTGTTGTTCTGTTAGGACTCAAAACTGAATTGTTTTATAATTCCCCATTTTGTGGTTCTTCCAGTGTTTTAATTAATAGTCGCTTGTTTATAATAATTAACTGTGCTGTTCTGAAATTGTTATCAGAAAGGTGATTCATTGGGTGAATTTAATTTGTGATAATCCTTATATTGTACTTCTTAACCTTCAGTGTAATTTATGCTAGCCATTAATTAACTTATTTATGAGAATTTAACGTTGCACAAAGCCTTAAGTTTAATATGAACACAACAGTATTCATTAGTTAAAAAAGTTCTATTTACTTCCATTAATTTCAGTTATTATACGAATCATCTGAAAAACCTAATCTTCGGCATTCCTTTCACACCCGTGTAATAATTGCAACTCATTTGAATAAAGGAAAAGTCATGATTTCAAGGATTATCTGATTATGGTATTGTAAAAAATATTTTAGGAAGTAAGGTAGTATTTTCTCAAGATTTTCCCCAGAAAGTAGTCCTCCCTACAGTTTGAAATAAGATGATCAAATATCTTTTTAAAGGTTTTATTAGATACTTTGATTGATTTTATTAATAAGCATAATTCTGGTCACCAAGTTTCTGTTCACTTCATTCTGCCTACATATTGTTTGTTTGCATTATATATTCTTCAAGGATCATCCCGAGATAAGTGCTACAAGTTTTTGCTCGATGGCTACTTTGTCGGATTCATCCACCCAATGTTTTTGGATTGGTTATTGAAATATGCAAATGTTTTTGTGAAGATTTCTCATCCGCAACACGGTGATCATTGTATTACAATGCATCAGGCCATGATAAATGTGAATGACCGCAGCAATGCAGTGGCAGAAGTGATGCAAGATTTGCGGACCACAAGTCCTTTCAAGGCTCTAAAAGGATGGAGAAACGAGGTGAGTTATTTGTTCCAGATGCTCTTGTTGCTCTTTTTTAATTTTATAGGCCTGAGATACCTCAGAAAGATTGAACAAATATTTCAGAACAATTATAGTCTTCGGTAAAGACTTTTTGTAACCTGTCGACTTCTTTAGTCTATTCTTAGTATGACCTGAGGTTTCCTATGGTGATTCCATTTTATTTTAATCACCAGACTTTTATAAGGTAGGTCAATCGATTACCTAACTGTGTGGTTCACCACTTATTGGTTGGTTATCATTGATATGTAGTGATACTAAACCATTGGGTTTGTGGTTTCTTTCACTGAAGTTTTATGTGATATACACTTTCTCGTTCTTTCTACTTTTTATGAACTATGAATTACTTTATGCCTGGATCGTTCGGACTCAGTTTCGTAAGAAATAAATAAATTTGTAATCACATCACTTGTATTTGAATTCATAATCATTTTGCGTAGTTGTTATGTCGATTTTAATGAAATCGAAATTCAGTCACAAAACATATAGTCATTCTGTACGTTATTAATGTAGAATATTAAATGATCCATGTAAGCTATTAATTTTGAGTAGTCTGCTATATGCTTATTTCTTACTATTCTATCATAATTCAAAGTTTCACTTATTAGGTATTGTGATTGATCTTCCAATTACTTGTCTTTCTAGAAAATTACTTTGAAAAGGGCCTTTGACTTATGTTTTTACTTTTAACAAAATGTTCTGTGCTATAATATAACGATACTTATTGAAAATTATATAACTGCTGCTAAACTACTATCATGCTTCAAAACTGGGTTGAAGCCCTGTTGTTTGAAAAGTTCAAAAAATATTTGATTTGTCCATTTATAGCGGATGAAATAAGTGTCGAATTTCTGACACAGTAGATAAAAGTTAGCTGCTTAAACATCTAGGTTACAGCTTTATATGAATTATGTGATTTTATCTGAACATTATTAGATATTTAAATTCGAGGCATTTAATGAAGTTCCCACAGCTTGTAAATGTGGATTTAAGCATCATAGGTGCATTACTGCCTAGATAGTTGATTAATAGACAACCGTGTGAAATTACATTAATAGACTAACTGTAGCTAATTAGTCTCAGTATTTTAATCGATAAGGTAGTTAAACAGTATCAGTTAAGTAACCTTATATTGAGATAAATCATATGAGTACTTATTCAAAATAGTGCCTTCTTGAATTTCGCCAACATATCTCCATAAATATTTTGTTGTTATTATCAGAAGTGTGTAAACGGTTATTGATTTATTGATTTTAAAATAGGACTATGGCGTTTACGTTCATAACCGTGAAAAAGTATTATTAAAAATTGAACGTTCAGCATCGAGTCTTCTGGGTATTACACGATATGGTGTACATGTAAATGGTTTTTTCTCAAATCGATACAACTACTCTAGAAAATCTGATCGAATCGTTAATGGCAGCTCACGTAATTCCAACGATTCTAATTCACTCGCTCAAATTGGTCCGGATAATGTTTTTATGTGGCTCGGTTTACGATCAATAAACAAACCTACATCTCCTGGAATGCTCGATAATATGGTAATTGAATATATATATATATATAAATTATATTTTTATCTCTCGACAGCCCAATCCTATCGTTAGTACAATATTTTAAATTGATTATGTAACTGTTGGTTCATGACACTACATCATTCTGTTATGAAGCCGTGCCCCAGTAGTTTAGGTTTCTAGAATTTTTCCGCTAATGATTCGCGGTTTAGAGTCCTATCTCACCTACTTTGGTTAGAACGATCTGGCTCGGAGTCAAGTACACTAATTTGTACTTGGTAACTGAGCTAAAAATATTTCAATCGCTTCAAATGTTTTGGTGTAAAGCGTGGTTTTAAAGTTACTTACTTGCTCTTGTTACCCCTCACGGGGGAGCATAGGTCACCCACCAGCATTCTCCATCCAGATCTGTCCTGGACAATCCTTCCCAGTTTCTATCCATCTTCTTCATGTCTGCTTTCAATCCCCGACAGTGTTCTTTGGCCTTCCTCTTTTCCGTTTACCTTCAGGATTCCAAGTTATTACAGTCCTTGTGATGCGGTTTGGTGACTTCGGTAATGTATGCCACCAATGTCTTTTCTAATTTCCTATTCAGCTGGGATCTGGTTTGTTTTTTCCTATAAAAGGTTGTTGCTGATGGTATCCGGTCAATGGACATTGAGTATCTTGAGTAAACAACTATTTATAAATAGTTGTACCTTTTGATTATGTTTATGGTAGGTCTCCAAGTCTGACCTTATAGTAGAACTGTATTGACGTTCTGATTGAAGATTCTGACTTTTATATTAATTGACAGTTGTTTTGAGTTCCGTATGTTCAGTTGCAGGATTGTGGCCCTTGCTTTACCAATCCTTGCCTTTACGTTTGCATCGGACGCTCCTTGTTTATCGATGATGCTCACCAGGTACGTGAAAGTCCCCACATATTACAGAGCTTCATCAAATGTGATGTCATTGATGCTCTCCGTGTTGTATTTCACGATCTTGGATTATTTCCTTGTGTATGTTGAGGCCTGCTGATGCAGAGGTTTCTGCTACACTAGTTGACTTAACCTGTATTTGTTCGTGTGTATGGGATAGAATAGCCAGGCCATCTGCGAAGTCTGAATCGTCTAGTTGCATGCAAGCTTTCCATTGTATTCTGTGCTTTCCGTCAGATGTGGAGGTCTTTATGATCCAGTCAACCACCAGAAGAAATAGAAAGTCAGAGAGAGTAAGCAACCTTGTTTTACTCCGGTCCTCACTTAGAATGCGTCTGTCACCTGTCCTTCATGCACCACTTTGCAGTGTAGTCTATCATATGAATTCCCGATGATGATGATGATGATGATTTTCTCAGGTACACCGTAGTGCCGAAGAAGGTTCCATAAGGTTTCCCTATCCACATTGTCAAACGCATTCTCATAGTCAAAGAACTTGATGTACAGTGACGAGTTCCATTCAATTGGTTGTTCAACTTAAAGAGAGAAAAAAAAGAAGATTTGTGCATAATAATATGAATTCATTTTATTTCGTTAGGTTCTCATCATCTGCTTACGACCTAAAATATTTGAAATCAACGTTATTACAGATATTGACATACTTATACATAAGAGAGTGATTAAAGATGAATATATATATCATGATGTAGCTACGAAATAAAATTAGTTCATATTATTCTGCACCAATCTTCCTTCTTTCTCTCTTTGAGATAATAAGGGGAACTATGTGTATGATTGTTCAACGGTGGTTCTTAGTGATGTGGTTTGTGCATGACCGATCCTTAGAGAATCCAGCCTGTTGATCTCGAAGTTGAGCGTCTACTGAGTCTTTCATCTGGTTCAGCAACGCTTTGTTGAAAACCTTTCCTGGTACTGTTATTAGTTTGGTGCCTCTGTAGTTCTCGTATTTGCTCAGATTTCCTTTCTTTTGCATCTCGGTGAGGTATCCTTCTTTTCAGTCTATCGACACTTGTTCTTTCTCCTAAATCTTCCTGAATAGAACACGGAGCATTTTTGCAATTGCTTCTATGTCTGACTTCATTGCTTCAACTGGTATATTGTCAGGTCACGCTGCTTTCTCACGCTTGATTTATCTGATGACCATCCTGATTTCTCTGATCTTTGGTGGATTGACATCTATAGGAGGGTCTGTGTGTGTTGCTTCGATGTTCGGTGGATTCAGTGAAGCTGGCCTACTAAAGAGTTCCTTGAAGTGTTCCACCTATCTGTTCCTCTGCTTTTGAATCTGAGTTATTGTCCTGCTTTCTTTGTCCTTGACCAGTCTCTGGTTTACTTTATTTTCCTGTTCGTTTCTTCGTTGTATCATATAACTGTCTTATATTCTCTTCTCTTGAAGAATTTTTCGTTGTCGTTGCTAGCTCTTCCACATGTTTCTGCTTGTCGATTCTAGTGCTCTTCTTCACTTGCTTGTCTGCTTATGTGTATTCAGCTTGTGCCTTGACCTTCTCTGCTCTCGTTCGACTGTTATTAATTGCCGTCTTCTGTTCTTCCTCTCTTGAATCTTGCCCGGGGTATAAATAGAGATCCATTCCTTATGATGATACTGCTTGCGACACAGCACCTCCTGACACATTGAAGTTAATTCTTATTTGATCCCTTTTCTGTTGTCTCCCATCGTAGTTTCTTCTTCTTACAGTAGATCGTGTAAGGCTTGGAACCTGATGTCGAGAGTCATCTTGAATTCGTTGAGTTTGACAGTATCTCGTAAGAAGGCTGTATTGAACCTTCGTACTACTGTCTTCCCAGCTGTTTAGTGTTTCTTTAGATTCAGTTTCATCTTGACCATAACCAGATGGTGATCTGAAGCTGTCAGCTCCTCTCCTGGTTCTCACATCTTCCATAATCCTATTGAATTTTTTATTGATATAAATATGATCGATCTGGTTCCCCGTTATGTGATCCGGTGAGATGCATATGGCTTTGTGTATGCATTTGTGTGGGAACATTGTGCGAGCTAAAACCAATTTGTTGAATGCACCTAGGTTTGCAAATCTCTCATCATTTTTGTTTCTCTCTCTCTCAGTTCATGTTGTCCCATGGTATCTTCATATCCAGTGTTGTGTGTTCCAACATTGTCGTTTAGGTCTCCCATCAAGATGATCAGGTCTTTTCCTGGACACTTCGCTATCATCGATTGGGGCTTTTCATAAAACTGATCTTTATTGTCGTTGTTGCTATCATTGGTGGATGCATAACATTGGATAACACTCATTGTGATTCCCTCCTTCTTTGTTTTGAATAATGCTTTGATGATTCTGGGTTCATGAGATTCCCATCCTATAAGTGCATTTCGTACTTGTTTGTACAGTATCAGAACAATTCCCTAAGTGTGTGAAATATTATTCTCTTCATGACCGGAGTACAGCAACATCTTCCCTGAATTCACCCTTTTCTGTCCAGCTTGAGTCCGACGTATTTCACTGATTCCGAGCACCATCAAGTTGTATCTCCTCATTTTGTAGCTATTCGAATAGTCCTCCCGGTCTCCCACATTATCCGGGCATTTCATGTATGTCTCTCTGGTTGTTAGAAGGGGTATCGGCCTCGTGACTTCCGAAGAGTTTCGGCTTTCACCTTGGGGCGTCATAATTCCTCTAAATGAAGATCCTTCAACTCAGAATAGAGTTTAAATTGTTCATTTTGGTTAACGTTTTTGAGTAAGGTTACTTTCTACGATATGGGGTTGTTGACTCCATGCCCAACCTTTGGGACCGACAGTAGCCCTAGAAGTCCTACAGGCAGAGTTTGCTAAAGTTAAATAGACTTAAATATTTTATGATATTTTGTATTTAGTACACTGTCAAAAAAAACTATCTTAAATAAAACAGGTAGGTCACTTTTTGAGCACTGACTATCTCTTGCAACTAATGGTTATCACTTAAACCTGTACTTATCAACTCAGTATTTGTAATCATACAGTAAGTAAATTATATTTTTTAGTAACTTACATTTCTAGGGCCTATATATATAATCCGAAACGTCAAGACACTCAAGTCTAATTAATACGATCACCCTGTTTCACTATATTGAGTAAAAGTAATTAGATTTCTCTAGCCACTTAATTGTCTCAACAGTAATTACTGACTAATTATTACCAAGTATTTCAATAACTGGTTGAATATTTTATAAATATACATGGATTGCATACTTTTTCATGCATAATTCATAATTTTCTTTCTTTATTATTTTCCACCGTAATATATTGTGTGAAATTTTGTTGTGCTAAATTTTATAGGTTGATGACAACAACAACATCTAACAAGGTTATTCTTTACTCAAATCGACCAACAAACGACTTTTCTTTTTATTAGATACAATTAATAATTTTACAAAGCCTTCAAATATATTCTATATGTTTAGCAATTAGTGTCAAATCAATAATCATAGTATTCATTTGGTTATATTGTTCATTTTCACGGTGTGTATATGTCTTAATGCTCTAGATTATAAACACATGTTTTTAGTAAATATTCGTTATTGGCTAGCGCTGGAATCCAGGAAGTATGTTTCAGCTTATATAAATTTATTAGTTCAGTGTATAACCCCTTGAAGTTAGAGGCTTTGAACCGTAATGTGAGCATCAATTCTGGGGTGCAGGTACATATCCAGTTGGCGAGTCCCAAATAGGACGAAACACACTTCTTTGATTCCAATGCTAGCCACAACCCAATTTTGTTAAAACTAATCGATTATGTGACAGTACGGAGGCAATCCACTATGATGCACATACACCACTTGCAAATGACCAGTCACGGTCCTTGTCATTACCAATAGAAAAACAAAATCCTTTACAAAAAGCAAATATTTTTGTTTTACTACTCGTTATTAGATTAATATCTGAATAAAGTGAATAATATAAATGATTAATAATTAAACTAATTAAAAACTATCTACAGTCAGCCAAACACAACGTAGAACCTCGTACATGTGTACATTGGTTTACATTTTCATACATCATCAGCACAGCGATATGAAATTATTAGGGTTATTCATAGAGCAGTAGACGTATGAGCAGTATTAATGGTAGTAAAAATGATTACACATTAAAGATACGATCCAAGAAAATATAAATTAGTGAAGTAAACAAAACTATGAGGAATTCATAAGCTTAGGATCTGGAGGAAGACAAAGAATGGATCCATCTGTGCCATTACAAACGATTTTCAGCCATGTCATTCCACGTCTCCAACCACTGGTTACGATAATGACGTACAACCCGACCAGATACTTTATACTTGTAAACATGGCTCAATCCAATTGTCTATGACTCATCTATTTTTACTGACCATGTTTCATACCCTTGAAGTAGAACGGAGAGAACCGTTGCTCGGTAAGCTCGTTTTTGGTTGACAGACGGATATCTCACCTATGCCACAGGCGATGTAATTTGGTAATAGCCAATCCGGCTTTCTGAATCCATACCGAGATTTCGTCAGGAACTAACCCATCATGACTGGTGAGATTCCCAAAATAAGTGACGTGGTCAATACACTCAACTACCTCATTTCCTATCGTTAATTCGGGTGCTGGCGTAATCCAATCTTAAAGCAAAATTTTACACCTGATGGGAAAGTATCTGCAAAAAGGAATGTAGTCATGAATTTGAGAGATTAAACTTTTTTGAACGTTCTTTAGGATTTTTTTGGGAAGATTGATTTATTGAGTATTTCCATAAAAAGTCAATAGTTTTATGCGTGACGTAGAGACTTATCATAACCTTATATGATTAGGTAAGAAATTACTAACTAATTGCATAACAGTTTCATTTGATGATAAACTCGAGATTTTTTTAAATATTCTGATAAAATCTTCAAGATTTTTTTCCATTCTATTAGTGATTGAGTAGACTGAAGTTGTAACAACCTAAGTGTGATGTAATTTTAGGAGTTCGAATTCATAGTCGAAAACTAAGTTTCGTAGTTTTGTTGTTGAACTTTAACTGATCACTGAATTTCATGCATATGGATTAATTATTTTGTTTCGAAAATGTATTACCTCTATTCTTGGTTATCCAACTTTGAAATATCGGTAAAAATGAATTACATAGTCGTTTTATGGCCCATCTTTATACAACGGTCATTGTTTAAATGGTGTTAGAAAATTTTTAAAAATATTTCATCTAAGACAGTTCAGAATGTTTTTCTACATCAAACAAAATACAAGAGTTTTATTTAAAAGTAGATGTCTAGTTTTCTTCACCATTTAAAATGAGTTAAATTATAATAGCGACGTATTGTAGAAAGATATATTCATCTATTTATCTACCTATCTACATATTAGTATTTTTGGTGACTACTTATCGGTTTTATTATCCATTATGAATTATGAGCAAATGTGGATACAGATTTTTCTAATTCATAAAGAGGGTAATAAAAAATAACTTATTCAATACATTTGAACTGAACTATATGAAAGGATAACTTTTCTCCGAAAAATATTTGAAATTTCATTTTCTAGATGTAAACAAACCATTTACAAGTAACCAGATTTAATCTACTTAATTTGAGGATAATATAACACTTTTTTTGTTGTTTTCCGAACTTACATTCAGGCTGCTGGAGGTTTAACATATGGTCTAGATGTAATGGAATGTGCTCGTAAAGAGTGTCAAGAGGAAGCAAGTGTACCAGAGCATATGCTTGGTAAACTAACCCTTGTAAATCAAATCAGGTAAGTTGTATTTACATAGTGTCAAAACTAATTTTGAATTAGAATATTACATTTTATTTAGTTTATCGATGAAAATATTTTCTACTGAATAACTTCGTAATATTTTAGTTTTCTTAACTTTTTATTTATTTAAAAAAAGACCCAGATAGTTTGGATATCAGATCGTTGGAGATAGTCGACAGGAAACACTAGATTAGACCTAAGTTTCATTCTAGCTTGTACTCCTCGTCAGCAAGGTGTACTTGTGGTGTTGACGGAACTGATGTTGTATGTAACTTTCAAACCTGGATCATGCAGCGTTACATTGAATACATTACCATAGTTATTCGGGTTATCATTTATTTCCCATGGGACTGAATTATTTGGATTGATCAGTTACTGTGTAATGAATAGTGTCATGTTCCCCTAATTAATGCCAAGTGTTGATCGTTTTCTATCAACTAGGTTTCTTATGCATGAAACTGATTGTATTTTTACATAAAGCTTAACCTTTTGTAGGTTTCTGTTCAGCCTGAAGTGACATTGTGTGCTGAGGGGAGGGCAGGAAAATTATGAGCTGCTTATGTTAGAAAAATTTGAAAAATAACAGAAAAAGTGGGTCGACAACTCTGTGGAAGCCCATAAGAGGATGTACCTACTTTTATTAATGAATGCAACCGACAAAAGTTTGCAATAAAACAAGCGTGAGTTAAAAACAAATCTAATTATTGAAGCTAGTGGAGTAAGATTTCGGATGTGTTACCGGTTGATCGTAAGAGATGAGTAAATTCGAGATAAGCTATTATTAAATAAATAAATAAAATACTAGAAGTGTCTAAATATTCGTTTATCTTAGTTTAAGATTTCATGCTTATACAGGTCCTTCTATTATCTATCCTATCATCAATTGTCTGTATGTAAACATTTTATTAGTTAGGTAGGCAGCTACTATATCACTGTATTCACATGTTAGTACAGTCAAAAAAATTATATGTCGACTTATTATTTCTACCTCTCTTATGATCATCTCTTAGCATCGATAGATACTGTGTTCACTAACCTAATTCAATAAATTTAAATATTAAACATTGTTTTAGAAGTTATAATGATACGGTCAGACTTAACTTGAACTGTAATCAGGCTCTTTACTTATATATTTGAGGAGGTTAACAACATTTATTTCAAACTAACGCCAATTCTACCAAGGAAATATAATTATTCCAGTCAGTAAGTTATATACACCGATAAAATGATAGTACCTCTAAAGAATTTTAATGATTGATGTTTTCAGAATTACATATAGTCACACATGCGCTATAAACGTGATCCTGTAGCAACAACCTTAATATATCGTAAAGTAGTCGTTAAATTACTTTAATGGTATCACAGATGTGTCGATTACGTCATCATCGCCTTATTACCATAATCCTTTTCATATATTTGTGGTCATGACTGGAAACAGATCACTTGCTTTCAAACCCTCGTGTTATTTAATCTTCGCTATTAGCTCCTTTATTATTATTATTATTATTATTATTATTATTTATCACTCATTACCGTTATTGTTATTCGAAGTATCTTATAAGTTCTAAAGTATAAATTTACACTGATATTCAATTCTTAAGGTCAAGTAACAAACACATTTGTAAAGTCATGTGTATAATTTGTAATAACTCGAAGTAACTCCAATTAATTTATTAAAGTCTTATAATATATTAATGTATTTATTTTAATTTGTATTTGCCTTTTAAAATTACCTAAATTTTTTGTGTATGTACCATTATAATATGTCATTATGAATAAAGTGAACTAGTCAGCTGATGAATAGTGCATAATTTGCCTGTTCGTTTTTTAATGTTTATCGGTTCTTGTCAATTTCCAATTTTGTGTCAAGTTATCTGACCTATGTACCGGGGGGGGAGTGCGTCGGTTTTAATGTCAATCTAACGGATAAAACCTATCGGTCATTGTTCTTAAGTATAATGTCTTAGTTAAGGTTACTTATGATAGTCTTTGTATGATTTTAAACCATATCGTTTTGTTATACATAAATGATAATTTAAAATATTAATATACTAACATTTACATCTTCTATTGGTTTGAATATTTCGATTATTTCAGTTAAGATAACTAGAAACAATTTCACCATTGACAGTTTCAGCTTAAAATACTCAAGTTATTGATTTCATGGACAATTGTAGAGATTCGCTAAACTAATGACATCCTTCCTAAAAGAGGTTAAGTTATGATGGTACGGAAATTATTTGATTTAAAAAAAAATTTCAGCCATCAGAATTAAATTCAATAGTTCAATAGATAATAATCTCTTCATTGTGCCTGAAAGGCATAGTTTCAATTATATTTGGAATTGTGTTCATATTAACGATTAGTCCCTATAATGGTATAGATACAGAAGAACATTTCACCCTATTCTAGTTTTCAATGCTTATTTAGCTTGTAATGTAATCCACTTTGAATGTGATCAGTACTAATTCTCCAATCAATAAACTTTAAAAATGTTTCAGCAACCTAATTGGTTAACAAATGTTCTAGTTGCCATTAGTTTTTTTTTAAAATTAATGATAATAATTGATATTATTACTATTGTTGTTATCCGACTTAATAAACCGTATTATCCTAATTGACAATACATATTTTTTTTTCTACCAATTGGCTAAAAAGTAGTGTTTCATGGTAATCTTGCAACTGAATCGTTTTAAATCATTGCGCAGTATGAATATCATCCTGACTTTGCTTATTCGTTTCCCTTTCTAGGTCATTCGATTTTTCTGGTATTTTTATTTTATTTTTACTGACCTAAATTTCTAACCTTAAGGATATGATCATATTGACTAATAATAATTGATCAAAGAAGATCAAATCTCAAGGTCAGTCAATGTACTAATCAGAGGATTCGTTTGTATATATATATATATATATATATATATAATAGGCTGTACACAAGTTTCGCTTTAATTCCATTAATATATTAAGAAGAACCCAGTTAGAAGAAACCGATATTTCGAAGCATTACACAGAAGTGTGAGGAATCCGGAAACACATTATACTGTTGTGAGATAACTAAATCAAGTAATAATATATTTTTGGATATGAAAAGAATAGGAAAGAGTTCTGTGAATAATCACAATTTTTTCCCGCATTATATCTGTATGATAATGTGAAAATAGCCTTCGTGAGTGAATGAGGGAAACAAATACACATGCGCACGGGAAACATTTCGCCTACACCACAACTTATGCAAGTTGGCAAGTGCCAGCCGGGTCCATGCCAAGATTTTGCCAGGCACAAGACCACCAAGGTTGATGAGACTTCCAAGATAAGTGACGTGGTCGACTTTCTCAACTGCTTCATTCCCTATTATTAGTTCAGTCGTTGATTCAGAACAGTCCTGAAGCAATATTTTGCATTTAGAAGAAGAGTAATCTATCCCAAACATGCTTGGATTGTTGCTTCTGATCGCCTTGAACAGCGAAATAAGAATAGTAAGGATGTTACTAATATATATTTTATCTCTAACCGTTTTTATTCATCTCTCTTTTATTTCTTACCCTATATTTTACGCTGTGAAAGATTGTTTTCTTGCAGATGTTAATAAATAAGTCAAAAATATGTTATTCCCGATCGTAACTTTAACTTTGATGTAGAAGTCAAGCTTACCAAACTTGTTGACTAAGCCGAGGTATATTGGCTGAAACACTTTTTACTTTAGATTCTACCTTTCCAGGGAGTTCAAATTGTTTTTGCTTTATCTTTTATGCCACCATTTAAAGTATTACTAATTTTACCTATCTTGGATTTATTGTGACAACTCCATCTCTCTATACTGATATGGTGTGTTAGCTTGAACCGATGCACAAGTGTGGCAGGTTCTACATTGCTTACGACTGGCTGATTTCATGTTTTAACTAGTCAGACAAATTGAGAGACTTGAACATTACTTGTTATCTCATTGATGTCTACCTAATAATATGCAGGTACTAAGTTAAGGCCTTGATACGATAGGCTAACTGAGGTTAACCTTGAGGCTAGAAAATGCTTGATTTCAACTTGAGACTAATGGCCTTGGAAAGAGACGGGAACCATTTTATCTCTTGATTGATTGACAAGCACACGAGAGAGAAGCCAAATCAACTGGAACACTACTCGGTTTATACCCGATTCAGAGTAATGTAAAAAGGTACATGAATAAATAGATGATTAACATGGCTAAAGTGCACAAACAATTAGAAAGATACAATCATATCCAAATTGGGCATTAAGGAGTTAAAATAAGGCACCAAAGGTCATGTCTAAGTTACAACAGATTTTGAACAGAAAAGGATATGTCATTGAATCATACATCAAACGAAAGCTTATGGTTTATAGAATAAACTAGGGGCGAAACTAAATGTTAGTATTTTACAAACTTTGAATTAAGTGAAATAGCGTCTCCAAAATAGCTTCCGTTGTTTGTCATGGCTTCTTCGTTTCTCTGTTCACATAATTACTGGATAATAACAAAATTATTGTATAAAGCTTATCCTCCTAAGTTTGCGTATATTAGAAAATCAGTATAAATGGAAACATTTGCATAACTTGACTTTGATCCCCATACCTTTTGATGTAATTGTAGAACTAATGATATCATCTGGCTAAATAAACCGAAGAAGGATTTAAATGCGAAATTTAATTGTTTAAAATCTGGTTAACGTTGTAAAAATGGGAATAGTATTTCAAATTAAACTGGGTAGTGTTTTTATGTATTTATCACAGATTGATCTTATCGGTGCACTGTTGAAAACCTGAGAGTACTTAAAATCTGTTTCTTCCTGATATGAAACTTCTCGCCATTTCTCACTCATGACATCATGAAAGACCAAACCAGGGAGTTTCAAATCTCACAACAAATGCTTATCTATCAAGACCCAGCAATAACCAGGTTTAATCCTTTATGAGGTCATGAGTGCATCGTGTGAAGTTTCACATTAGTTCGAAACAGTTCTCCAATGCTCTCTAGTTTTCAACTGTACTATATGTGAGATCGATTAACAACTAATATTATCTACAAATTGAAATATTCTCCACAAAATTCTTTCAAATAACCTGAATAATATATTTTTTTGTTAATGATTCGTCCCTTTTGTAACTACTATGCTATAACATTTAGAAGATTGGAGTGTTACTACCTAACCATATTTCGTTAAATTAACTTTTAAATTGACCAATTAATTTTGTTATAACTTATTAATAAATTTATTGAACTTAGTTTTTTTCTTTTGAAGAATGTTTGCTTACTTAAACTAATCAGATGTAGTAATTTCACAAATGGAATTTCACTCCACTTGCTGTAGAAGTTATTATAGATACCTTAAAAACTACTGATTTATTTAAAAATCTATATAATATCTAAGAATCGTTCACAATGATGTAAATGCATTCACTCTTTATCTTGAATTCTGATACTCCTTCATACATACCTTTCCATTCTGTCTTTTAGAATTATATTCTCAATATTTATTGTTTCTTATTACTATTGCTACTCTATTATTTCGATCATTGTAATTACTTATCTTGTTATTTTCATCTCGTATTTCTACTGTGTTATGGCAACGTAGAACAATACAGGCTCTGTGTTGATTATTACTGACTAACTGAACGACTACTTCGGTCATATGTTGGAGCTCACTTCTGTTTCTGTTTATTAAGCCACTGGATATTTGAGAAAGTCCTTACATATTCAAGTATATTACATATTTTAGTATACAGAACCTATAGAAATTTATGAAATACAGTTGATAAAATGAATATGATTCTCTTTAATCTGAATTTTCATGCGTTGACTTATTACCATCATTGGTAGTGACTTCATTGTCGTGTTAATTTTTTTGAAAGATTGTTAATCACATAATGAAACGAAATAGTTATAGCAAACTTATGGTTAATCACTACTGTTTTTTTAACTACCTCCGTAGTAATTTCACTAATGCATGGTTACTAGAAGAGTCTGATTAGGACTCAAGTCAGTAACTTTATTTTCTATGTCATATTTCACCTGAGTTACGTAGGAATTATTTACACTTCAGTGGTAGTTTTTAACTGTATCATCATATGTGATGTGCCCTTACTCCTCGACTGACGGCATTAGATTACTCATGTTCATAAATATATGTTCCGCAGATGAGTATCTGCAAACATTTAATCTATGTTGCAAGATTTCCGCTAACTTACTGTCAAGAATCTGGATTCTGCTTCTAATTATGTACAATCGATTTTAAGAGCTAATTGATGTTATTCTTGTATAGTATTTTATTTACTTTTCATGTCCAGTATGGTTCGTTTTAGCTCAAATTTACATTTTGCTGAATTATTTAACATTTTCTTGTTCACTACTCATCAACTTCAATATGATCTCTAGGTTTACTATTGAATTAGACTATTCTAATTCTCCTAAAAAATCGACGAAATTACCCTCTGTTTTTATTTGAATTCCATTTTCTTTAAATCAGTTATATTTTTGAAGATGAGCGCGGTGTTTGCCCACAAATTGAATATTGTTTCGATCTGGAATTACCGCCAGATTTTATCCCTGTTAGCTCTGATGGTGAAGTGGATAGTTTCCGATTAGCCAGTATATCAGAGGTAATGTGTATATGTGTTGTACTTTCATTAAAAAGAAGTTTAATTAATTCACAATTCATATGTTAAAATTATAAATAATTTTACCTAGTGGAAAATTGTATATTTTCTCCTTTGCTTTTATTGTTTTCTTTTTTTTATTGAAAAATATTTTTAAAAGTTTATAGTTCGACCTCATAGGTTGGAAGGAAAGAAAGTGTAATCTTCTTGATGATAGTTCGCTAGGTACTCATGATAGGTAGTAGTTGATGACCATTAGTAATGTGGATGAAAATCAATTATTTTTCTAACTGTTCAGTTTAAGGATTATGTCTTACTTCTAATTCTTTGATACATTCGGTCTTTTCGCAATATTTACTATTTGAGATTTCTTACTGTTAATGATGTTAATATCATATTGACTCTCTTAATCTTCATCTCATTGATTTTCCACCTTGAATATATTAACGTAAAGTGTTACCATGTGGACAGAGATGTATATTTCTATCACTTCGTAAATTATTTAAAATTGATTCATCACCTTTAATCAATTTGCCCTATTATCAGAAAATTATAATTATTGAATGTTTTTACCTTCTTTTTTTTCAGTGAATTACTTTCATACAATGAATAAATGCTCTTTATATGTTTATACTCTTTAGAATAATATTTAAATATTAGACAACAATAATAGTTTAGTTAATAATTCATATTATTGAATGCGTATTGTTATCATTTCATCATTCAACATTGGTTAGAATATGTTTGTTTTGGTTTTTGTTTACTTCATAACAAAAATACTACTACTACTACTACTAATAATAATAATAATAATAATAATAATAATAATAATAATAATAATAATAAATTGTTGTTCTTTTAAAATACAAAAACATAACATACAGACGTCAAATTAAAAGGAAAACAATTCAAGATATTAGAAATAATTACATTCTTAATACGTGCATAGAATAAGTTCCAGTTGACCTTTTTTCGATAAAAGTTAACATTATATTTTCTTTAGTATTTATATACTATCTCTAAATGTTGTGTATTTTACAATCAGTCTTTTAAGAATATTTAAAAAAAAATCGCAACCATAATAACAACAGGCTATATTGAATAGAGAAAATCAAAGGAAGGAATGTGTTTTGATAAGGATTTTTAATTGGAGTTTTTTCTCTCTTATTACTGTAGACTTTTAGCATTCAGTGAAATAAGCATACTTTCATGTACATCGTTTTCTTATTAAAAGCTTTGATATACATTATATATATATATATATATATATATATATATATATATATATATATATATAAGCATTTGGGAAGAATAGACTTTTCCAGATTGTTGGCATGAAAAACTGATATCAGCTGAGAATGCTTATATGTGAAGAATTGTAAAGTTCAGAAAATCCTTTTTTCTTTCGTGTTTATTACTTGTCTGCGTTGTGTGTTCTAAGTTGAGAAAACAATCGACTTGTAAAGTCTTTAAATGTTTTCGTGTTATTCTCAGACTAAATTTTATGGTTAAGATTTTTTTTATTATTTACATAACTTTTTCTTTATGTTTCGAAAGACGAATGAATTTCACACTAATTTACTTTCACTCCAAAAATGTTTCTTTTATTTTCTCAACTTACAGTTGCTTCATTTCTACGCACTATTATTTACATATATTTAGTAAGAATACTTTATAATTCACATCAATTTATGAAGAAATCTATACAGGATTTCCATGAAACATTTCAGCGTGCATTTTTTCCTCTCATACATTTCAAGTTATCACTTTTTATGCCACTTTCAATTATTAAAATCAAAAATGTTTGTTTGGAAATTGTTCAATTTAAAAGTACTGAACATCACGGAATGACTTAAACTAACCAACCATAGAACACTGAACAGTTATTTTGTCCCTAGTATGAGTAACCGCTAGCAATGACTATTTATAACTTCGTTAGAAATTAATGCCAGGACTTCAAAGTCTCATGAGTTTTACGCTCTCAGGTGCCTTTAAATCACTTCGATGGTACACAATGGTTTATATTTGAAATTTCAGTTAGTCTTCTATCCAATGAATTGTTTTTTTATACATATATGATTGTCTAACGGAGTAATAAGTAGTGTAATTCACTCTACCCATACGCTGAAAGTTATGAATATATTTTTCTACAACATTCATCTGTCTCAAAAAGGTTAATAACCTATTTGAACAAGACTTTTGATTTTTGTCAATTTTTAAGGAATGTATATGGAAACTATGGTAAACTTCTTCCATTCAAGTCAGTGATAACAATAGTAATGTTTTTCACTCAACTGATGTCGATAATCTTACAGAAATTATGATAAACGATAACACATGTTATTAGAGTTGTGTTTATTTTTCAGTGTAATTACTAGTAGGCTGAAAGAAACAGTAGACGAATATTTCAATACTCAGATTGTTTAAACCCAAAAAAGAGACAATCATTAAACGTTACGTCATGATACTATGAAAAAGAAATTTTTGAAGTAAGCAGATTTTAGCTACATATTACGGCAAAAATAATTTATGGTCAGACTGTAAACCAGAAAAAAGCATTGATAATTCATTAAATTGTTCACTTGGATCCTTTACATAAAGACAGTAAGAGATTTAATCAGTGGCTGAGGGTCTTAACTTGATTTTGCTATGGTAGACATTAAGCTATCTGGCTTTATTATTATTATTACTATTATTATTATATGTTTACTTCTTTCGTTAGTTGAAGGATGACTTTGATAGCATTCTCTGATTCATATTTCCTCAATTAACTTTATTGTTACCTAACTGGACGTTATTACTCTTAGTTCGCTAACTGTTGCGCGTCCCAATGTCATTGGATTATGCGATATAGACAAAGTTGCTCTATTTCAGTTTTGGCTTTTTTTAGAAATATAAAGCTGTTCTTAATTCCTATCTTTTCTATATTCTATTGATACATGGATTATTAACTTTGCAGTGTTGTTGTATGTTAGACTCCCGGTCTGTCGAGTTCTCATTAGTTTTCTCCGTATTAAAAGATTGTCATTTGTACATTATTAAAAAATTACAATAGGCTGCAGTCGTACACAAATTTCAAAAAATCAACAGATCTTCGATTGAGTCGTTGATGTAAACTACTAAAGAGTCCTATATTATGTTCAAACAGCTGTTCAGTGTTTCCTGGTTTTAAATGGTTATGTAAATAAGATCAGTTTATAGTGTAGACTGTAAAATGCAACAATCTTTACTTTTCCGTATACTAATAACTAGTCAAATTTTCAGAGTAAGAGAGCTAAAAAGTATTTGTATCAGCCAATGATATGCTAGTAGTAGTGTACAACTAAGACCACATACGCAAGAAAAAACATAATCTTGAGGTCTCATGAGAATTTCAGTACTTTCAAACCATTAAGTAGAAGTCTAGTAGTCGATATTTCCCAAGTTGAGTCAATCTTTCTGCTTAGTTTCAGTGAAATCTGATAAATGTACCATGAGGAATATATATATAGCTTGATAAAGAGACGAAAAAGTTTAATTACTAATTATCTCCATGTAAAATACATGCTATATCTGTAACTTAGTCAAATTCTGTTGTTAAGCCTAGTTACAAGTGCAATTTACTAAAGCTTACGTGATGTTTACAGGTCAGACAGTAGTTGAGAGATCATGAACAAGGCATGCTATTATAAAAAGCTAACTGTTCACCTGGTCGAGGTTTTATCTTGTTCTTGTCTGGGTCAGAAGGACAATCGTATAAATATATACTTATGATTTGTATAAATTGTAATCCTATTAAATAATTAAACCTTCCTACTTCAGATTCTTCATTTATTTGGTAGGTCTGATTAACCGTAAAATTATGTATGGTAACCGAATATGATTGCAGAATATAATAATAATAATAATAACAATAATAATAAGGGTATTTCACTGAGATTACGGATTGTTATATTAACGGGAGCCATATTGAGAGTTATTTCAAGTTGTTTATTTTTCAGATTCCCATAAAATGATCATGTGTCCACCAGTGACTAGGTTCATGATAGAATTCCTGGAGTTCTTGCTAGAAGCCGTGACCAGTAGAGTCCAATATGTGTCTGGTGGAGACAGTTATCCACATTAGACAATAAATGAAGGTTTGCGCAAGCTCGGTTGAAGTTAGACATTAAAATCGTTGGGTGACGGCTCAGTGGTCTAGAGGTTACGGGTTCGCACGCGAGACCAAAGGACATTGGTTCGAGTTCCGCGTGCGTAAATGAACTTCTAACATTCAGAAGGAAACTTAATTTGCCTTCAATTTACAGTGAATGTATAACATGAAAACGACTTATTGTTTCAGAAGTGCTATATCAAGTTCTAAACTCCTAACAGCTGTAGAAAGTCATTGAAGTAAAATAATCGCTAATTTATTTAAACAATCAACCTTCAATCAGCTATCTACTTAGAAAGAAACAGACAATCAGCTAGTGTTATTTCTAGCTCTCGATGAATGTGTGTGACTTACACATTTGCACTTAACCCTGTCCACAGTAAATGATTTTCATGTTTGGATTGTGTATTACAATTTCGATTAGCTTCGCAAATGCAAGAAAGTTTATGAGATTACTTATTTAATTAAATAATATTGAGCAGTATAGCGAGTTTCTAAAATTTTCGAATAATTATCATATTTGTTTTGATGTTCATTCACAGTTAGGCAGTTTTCTGTCTTGACAAAGCCTCTGTGATAATTACGAATGAACAGTCTTTTAATCCGAAATTAATACTGACGTGATAGAACATTCATTAGAAATTGTCAACACTATTTGGTCACTGATAAGTAACCAATGTCATGTTTGTCTATTCTTTTAATGCTTATCAAATCTTATCGATCATATCACGCTATACTTTATTTGACATGGTTAGCTTATTGATGACCTATCTATCTGGGACAATAATTAATACCATTTTAAATAGTGAGAGTTATCCTTCTCAACATTGTACATACGTCATGCTGATAAGTGTCAAAACATACGTAGTCATTAGGCTTATGACATTGAAATTGTTGCCTATCATCTAACATTTATATTTTCTCTTATTGTTTCTTAAATGTTCTTTGTAGATCAAACAACTAATATTTGACGAACACTTCAAATCAAATTCTGCTATGGTTGCCTTGGATTTTTTGTACAGACATAAATTTATCGATAAAGACTCAGGTAAGTATTATTTTCTCTTTTTATATCTATCTAATCCTAATTAATCTTAAACAGCGTAGAATCCGATATAAATATGTATCAGCCTTAACATAACTATAATAAGATGAGAAGCAGATTAATAGAAATCTTAGTACCAATTTCAAGTGGAATGCTGATATTTCAAAAAGGAATGAACAAGATCTGAGAATGCAAAGTAAAGAATGATCGCAAAGAATAAATATCACTATGACCATTTTAAGCTATCTCATCTAATGTCTTTAATGATAAATTATATCTACTCTCTTCCCACAATATAGAGTTTTGAATATTGAAGCTTCTGGCAGACAATTTGAAAGGTAGATTAAGAGAGTAAACAGGATATTTCTCATGTTGAAATTTATAACATTAGTTACATATAATAAAAAGCACGCGATAAAAATAGCAGGGAATTTGAAAAAAGAGATAAAACCGCAAGCATTATATGCAGAGATGATGGTAGCTAGCAGTGGAATCCAGGACACGCGTTTCGTCCAATCTCTGACTCTTCAGCTGGTTGTACTTGCATCTCAGAGTTTATGTTTACTCCGAGACTCGAACCCATTACCGTTTGTCTCAAACGCTGTCGCGTTATCCACTTAGCTACTGAGTCCTGATAGCCACTAGCTTGTACAATGGAGTGAAGCTTACTTCATTTTCGTATTGATTGTTTAAATCATCTTACTGAATTTCAAGGTTGAAATTGACCAGTCTCTTATAATCCTTGTAACTTAAGGCAATATCGAGGTAGTCTTCACAGGATGGGCATATATCAATAAGAGGCTGATCAATTCTAGTCCTGAACATCAATGGGAAGATTCAAATGACCGATATAAAAATGAACTAATAGATAAAACTGTTAAAAAATTCACAATATTACTGTAAATGATGATATATACAGTTGTTCGATTGTTGATTAGAAAAAGGTCGAAATTCATTGGGTCTATATTTCATTGTTTTTCTTGTTGTCATTACATATTACATTAGTAGATCACATTTTGAATTCTATAAACATAGAGAGCGACTGTCACTTTAACATATTTTAGAAATTTGAACAACTCACCTTCATCTAAACACTAATAAGATATACAATTTACTATGTATGTATATTTGTAACTGAAATCAAATTGAAGCTTTTGTACTGTTTTGATTCAGTAAATAAAAAAAACTATATCACTCTGGTGTATTAATTTTCTTATAGTTCTATTATCAAATTCTTCTATAAGCCTGTTTGATATAAGAAACTTAGTATTTTTTGCCAATAAAATTGGAATTTGTCAAATTTAAGATGTGGCTCTAGGATTCTCTTACACCAAACCTGTTCATAATTTCACATGCTATTTGTGCAACGTTGAGATTAGTTGTAGTTCATTTATGCTCTTCATACCCTGCCTTATTTATCATCAATGTTTGTCAGAAATAAGACTCAATAACTTATGTTCATTCGCTTCGTATGACTAATAATTATCAAACTTGGGTTTTTAAGTTAAAGACATAACTCCTCATGGATTTGATCAGTAGGACTTACGGGCTTCGAGTTTGGTGGAATAACTAAGTGAGGGAATTTAGATTTTTAAAATCAGTTTATTGAGTTGTGAAGCTCTATGGAAGTGTAGGTAAGTGAAGCATATATTATTAAGTCAGTCAATCGTGGACAGATTAGAACGTTGAACGAATGAGTATCAAAAGTTGTTACTCCACTCAGATGTCAGTATACGAAGATGTAAATAACGAAATGGTAAGGATATATTTAAAGTACACTATGCATCTTGGTTTTTTGATTTCTATTTGAAACAGTTACGAGGACTATCGCTTTCTTTGTTTGACTTGTAAAAACGGATGTCAGTACGAGTTGTTACATTTTTAAATAAAAAACCTATTATGAACATTGTTAAATCCTTGGAAAAAGCCTAAGTTCGATATTGTAACCTATAAGTGAAATGACTAATAATACTTTTCAGTAGTTTTAGTATTCTTTAGTTTTCAGTTTATCTGTTTACTGTATAATATAAGAAACATATGTCGGTTGTTTTTTCATCATATAATGGTTCTAATTAAATAGTTTTTATTCGATAAGAATACATGATATTTTGTTAAATATTTTATCACCGTTGGCTTCTATCTATCAATAAAGGCAAGAAAACAACAATTTGAAACACGGTTATTTTATCCTCGAATTAACAGTTTAGTAGATCTTTACAGTTTGTATGGGGGTATATGTATTATTGAATAGTATTGATTAAGTACTTGGAGAAAAAATAGTACTCATTGTAAGCACCGATAAGTAATCACAATGGTATATACGTGTTGTTTTTAAAAAAAATTCAATATGAGGGTCTCTATTGTGTAAGTCGAAAAAAACAAAACAAAACGAAATACTTTATACAAAAAAGCCCCTAATTCTCCTCTAGTTTATTTTATCTGCTTAGTAATTTTAACAATGAAATTGAAGTGAATTAGTAGGTTAATAATCAAATTACATTATTTTACACTTTACAGTATTATATTTCACATATTTATTTAAAATAATCAAGTTTTGTATATTTTACTCTAAGGGTTATATTTATAAAGCTAATGGGTAATTAAGCATAAATTAAAGTTTCATCTACATCTATATACTCTATGACAGTTGAACCAATAAAATCTTCATGTGATCTTGTAATTATACATAAAAATGATCATTTATTTTATGATATATATTACAATTACTTGATCATACTACTGTTAATAATTTTTTCTTTGGAACTAAATCAAACAACAAGGAGATTAGAGTGTGAAAGGAGGGAGGATTGATTAGTAGTATGTTGTATTTCCTAGGACAATATGAACTTAACTTAATTACATTATATACTTTAGATAATTAGAACGTATTCATACTGTTAATTATTGTAATTACTGGTGTAAAAGGCTGCATATAACTATTTATTTGAAATGTTAGTGAACTTTATATTATCGAATCAACAGGAAATACTTTGTTATATCATTGATACTAAAAATAATAATCTTAAGATAGTAAAGCTGCGTTTTTTTTAAAATCAAACAGTATTTAAGTAGTATCAATTTATCACGCAAAAATTTAAAGTTTTAATACTAAGAGATCAACGTTATACTTACAACGTTTCAGTGTAGAATGCTTTGTATCCAACTATACTTATGCAAATAATTCTTTGATTTCATATCTCTCAAGAGGTTTATAAGTCAGTCACCTTGGAAAATTCATAATTTATGTTAAAAATCTTATATACATTTCACAGTCCTATCTATTTTCCATAATATTGATTAATAAAAATAATCACTTTCTCATCGTTATTTTAAGAGTTGATCAAGTTCAACATTTTTCTTTTATAGTTTTGTCTTGTTTATTAATGTTAGGCGTTTAATGAACTAAATATTATTATGTTTTACTTATTTCCTACTTAGCTACCAATCATATATGTTTTTAATTTTGCATAAAATTCAATACTCTCCATTTCCAATTAAATTACTTTGTCAATTAGATATACTTATAACTTTATTGTTAGTAATATTGTAATGACATCTTGTTGTTTTTCCTGAGCAATTCTATACTCTGTTCTTATTCTCTTGAGCTTTTTACTTCAATATTTCAATCAATACGATAATTGAACTAGATTATCATTTCCTTTTTTTAAGTGAGGTTAGAATTCATGGACGACCTTTCAGCAACGTTAAAATGACCTTGGAATGTCCACCTACTTACTAGTGTTAAATGAGGGTTATATATTAGTATGAAGAATTAGAATTAAGATTTACAGTTGAACATTAGGCTTAGCAATTAAATTTAATGTTTTTTTAAATCACGAACTGATAACAGCTATAATGCTAAAATATTATTTAACCAAATGAGTGAATGAAATCCAAAATCTACTATCTTAAATCTGATTGGTTCATCTATAAATTAGTCTTTCCATGTAAACTACCAATAGTTTAGTTTTATACTTTGTTAAGTGAACTTCTATCCAAAAGTAGTTAATTTAATCTCAACGAATAACAACAACCTAATACAGAATTCTTTTTTTAGAGGCAAATTATTCCACAATTAATTGTATATGAAATCAAAATGACGGTCAACCTCACATTTTGTTTTAATATAAACATTAATTTATAAACGACATAGTTAAGTAGAGTGTGTAAATACATTGTCTTGATTATGTAATCAACTTGTTGTACAATAATTAATTGAATGTCGTCTACAATTATAACATTGATTTTATCGTTTACTTTCATTATTAACATTATTTCTGCTATAATTTATTCTTGCTTTATAAATACTATAGTTTTGCAATCTTTTCACTTTCTTAACGTTATATTGTCATTGGATTATTAAGGTGAACAGTTTCTTTTTCTCCATATAGTTATTATCTCATAATTGTACATTGTGATTATGATTTATAGCTTTTGATGTCCTAGCTATTCATTTCTAAAATACGGGAAAGCTTTTTTGTTACATGTGCTATTTTACCAACTAATTTGACCATGTCAAATGAAACGAACAGTTTTACATTGAGTTTATGGGGGGGTGTCCAGTTGCAATATGAATTTTTGGCTTCAAATGTCTGTTTAATACACACAACAAAATTCAAACTGTATTTTTGGTTATAATATGGATAGTCGTTTATGGATTTAATGTTGAAGTATTTCAATAGGAAGAATGTGTTGTGGATATATCAAGGATTCAAATCTTTTGCTTGATAATGAATTGTATGTAGATGGTTTGCAGTTTGCACTGTAAAGGCTTTATCATGAAATAATTATATTATCCATCCAGACAATATCAGCAACATTATGAACTGCGGATAATAAAGTATGAATGCATTTGTTCTACTGTAACCGACTTTAATCCAACTTACTTCAGGTGTTTGACCATTTACCAATAATAAAGCGGTCACCCTTGCCATGAAGTATGGAGTTCACAGTACGACGCATCAGTAGTTAGTGATTTCACGTATTGGTTTTGCCACCGCGATCTTTCAAGTTACTCATACTTCGACAAGCATTGATAGCCAGTAGTCTGCTATACGTAAAGTATTCCAACAACCACATTCGATAAAAATTCATATCCCCGTCAACAGTCTACTATTATTGGCTTTTACTATACACTTTCCTCAGTATTACTAACTTGATAGTTGCACTATGCACTGGTAAGACTTTAAAGATATCTGTGATCAAATACTGGTTATCTACAAATATCCTCTTCCATCAAAAACAGTGTTGCACAACCTTAGAGGGATTCTGCGTTAACTTTCTTCCTGGTTACACGCCTTTCAATAGGCAGAAATATGTCGTGCATTGTTTATGAGTGTTGAGGTTTTTCTATGACAAAATTAAGTTCCTAATTTCATCAACCACTATGATGAGGTTTCCAACACAAAGTCGGTCCAATGATTTACTGAAATCTACTTGGATTTCCTAAACTTTTATTTTAGATTAATGACACACATCACTTGTTTTTATAGTAGACCACATCAGGTTATCCTATCTCCTTTGACATTTCTATCTTTGAGTTGAGCTCTAGAATTTTTTATATTAGTGAGATTTCTACGTTTTATTGGATGCAGAAAGTTATATGCTCTTAAGGGAGCGTTATTATAGTTCAGTTATGGGCTCCAAAACGAGCATGTTTTTTCATCATGCTAGCGAGGTATGTCTGTGGTCGCCATTCTGTTTGTGTTTTCATTTCAGAAAACGTCTCTTTTTTACTTTAAGTTTATCCTCTTCAACAGTTATCTGACAATAAATGTAGCAGATGGTTACTGTTTTGGAATTCTCTGAGCTGGAGCCTCTAATGAGCGATCTATTCGTTTTCCAACTTGACTGGGCCTACCTATTTATACGCCAAAATCTCTCGCCATAATTACTTAACCAGCGTCCCTTACCTTTTAATTAGTGTTAGAAAGCTTTCTATAGAACTTTCTCTGGTCTTTAATCAGTGAAAATTATGCATGTTCTTAGGATTTTAAGTACACAATCGAGGGTTCCGACGCATCTATTCAATAAGTCCCTGTTTTGCTTTTTAATCTAATGCTACGCTTATACATGTACGGCGACGACAAATCATTAAAGAATCTCCAGATACACCAAGAATGAATCTGCGTGATCTAGATGAGATGATACGAGTCATAAACCTTGGATTCTGTGTACTGAATCTCGCCACAGTACAAATCAACAACATAAAATTCTAATCTTAGCCACTGATACCTGGTTCGACAAAGGGTTCGGACATTTAAAACTTCATCATATGGTTCGGAGCACATCTTTAGGCTACCGAGATATTTTTTTGAGATTGAATCGTTAGCACCAGTAGCCCACGCAAAAATGAAGGAGTCAGCAAAAACCTATTGATAATAGGAATGGAAAAAATGTAAAGAACTAATGAAAGGTTTTTACTATAAACAAGAGTAAATCGAGAATTGTTAGGTGTGTTTAAGCGAACCAAACGTTTTGTGAAAGTATAATTTTCGTTTATGGACCTGGAAATGAACTAGGCTGGTTATTAGTGAATGGTCAATCCAGGAACGTGACCGCTTAGCTGAAGAAATATCTGGCCGTATTTGGTGGTATACGACCATTTAGTAGTTCAGTTTTCATATATAGGCTCCATACTTTGCAGACCTCATCAGGCACTAGAAAACTGGATTAGGATAAGATATACTCCCAGGATTGACCTTTTCCAACACCACGTTGTGGGCAGGAAACATCTCCGTAAATGATTATCTCTAACAAACACCTTGTTGGTTTCAAATCCTTCTGCGTAACCTCAAGGAACAAGCGCTTCAGCCATTATGGTTAGGTTATGTTGTCCCGATAGTTAAGCTCAATCACTGTAATAACCATCATTGGAATGAGTGAAACAAGTGTCTTTCATTTTCCTTCTTGGAGACATCCTAGTGAATATTTGAGTTCCCATTTTCTCTGTAACCCCTAAATTCATTGATTCAAACTGTTTAGTATTATTCCTTGAATGAAATCATCAATGAAAACTAATTTTTCAACAATTTATCCTTCTATTATTTTAAATAGACACAAGTGTAATAACATTGTCACTAATAGCAACCATAAATTATGATTGAAATAAATCTTCCTCTTGCTTCTCAATAAAATGTGAATACTTATAATGTCCTACTACTAACGTGTATCAATATTAAAAAGGTAGAAATCTAACCTAGTTAGGATAAAAACCTTGTTACTTTCAATTTTTTATAATGGAAATAAGAAAATAATTAACATACAATGTCGATAACTATCAGCTTTTGGTTATATATATATATATATATATATATATATATATAACTAAATCTTGGCACGGGTCCAGAAAGTTGGATTAGCTATTGCCAACTTTCATCAACTGTAGCATAGGTGAGATACCCGTCTGTCAACTAAAAAGCATCTTACAGCGCAACAGTTCTCTCCGTTCTACTTGATGGGTTTGAAACATGGCCATTAAAAATAGATGATAGTCGTGGGTTATTAGTATTGAGTCATAGATGTCTTTGAAGTGTTTCGGGACAACTGAGCAAGCAATTCCAGATTTAAGGATATAGTACTAGGTAAATATGGCCAATTGATTAACAAGGCAGCAAAACTTCATCAACTGATGTTGTTGGGACATGTGTTACGTAGGTAGGGGTAGGTTGAAAGAAAACTAGAGGAGGCATTATAAGGACGCAACATCGGTTCATGGAGTCATAGACAATTGGATTAAGCAATGTTTACACGTATAGACTATCTGGTCGGGTTGTACGTGGAATGACATGGCTGAAAATCGTTTGTAATGGCACAGGTGGATCCATTCTTTGTCTTCCTCCAGATCCTAAGCTTATGAATTCCTCATAGTTTTGTGTATTTCACTAATTTATATTTTCTTGGATCGTATCTTTAATGTGTAATCTTTTTTACTACCATTAATACTGTTCATACGTCTACTGCTCTATGAATAGCCCTAATAATTTCATATCGCTGTGCTGATGATGTATGAAAATGTAAACCAATGTACACATGTACGAGGTTCTACGTTTTGTTTGACTGACTGCATAAGGAAGTAGGTTGGGTAGAACTTTCACTCCGGACATGTTGATCGAGCGCTAAGTGGTCAAACCAATAACCTACTGCTCAACTAAGTGATTACTTGTTATCAGTAATAATGTAATCTTCGTGAATTTTGACAGTGCTTAAATGTGCCGGATAATTATAAATACGATTTATATCATTATATATGTTGTATATTTCATATTTTTTTAGGAAATAATTTGATACTGTTGAACTACTACAATCCAAATGATATATAACCATGAAGATCGTCAATATTTCTCGGAAACTGATATATGGCATAAGTATCATTCCCGACTCAGCTATTTAGTTTCGGGACAGTAAAAGGTCATCAGACACCATGTACATACAATTTAGCTAGTTTTACGTAGCCTTTGTAAACACTAGGAATGTCAGAAAATAAGTAGTTTTGAAATGTAGGATCTGACCTTTTTAAAAGCTAGTGGTTTGTGTTGATGAGATGAATATTGAACCTAATTTGAGTCCTGTCTCCCACATTTTATGCGCTACCAACCTATAAACAAGTGATTTATTATAGTTAGTATGTTAAGGTAATTCTGCTGTCAGTTTATTCCCTTTTAAAAGGATTTGTAATGAGAATGGAAGAAAAACTCGAATGTATGCACTAGTCCATAACTTTGTGCCAAATTAGCTAACTTATTGTAAACATCATACAGATACTACTCGACAGCACTAATCACAACTATGTGCACCAACCGATTCAAATGATTCTTATATTATGTTGTAATCAGTTGTCGTAATGTTTTTGTTAAACATATTCTTTTATCTCACTACAGATCCAAGGCATGCAGAAGTACAATCCTTGATGCATGTTAACTTACCATTTGATTAATTGCATTTGTGAATACAGTTTTTATCTATCAACGTCATTGTTTCAAAATCAAAAATCCTCCAACTTCTATACATTCGATTATTTTCCAGTAGAAATTAATTATTTCTAACTTAGTTATTTTCTTTGTATTATAAGTGGTCTTCATCGTTGGCTAACGGTCAAGACTTTATTCTAGTTTCAAATCTTAAGCAGAGTTTTTTTATTATACAAATATACACCTTTCAAACAGCTATCTTTCTCATTTAATTTTCCTAAATCAGTCTATTTCTTTGCATAAATAATGTCTATTTATTAGTTGGTGTTCCATCTTTCTTATTTTCTTGGGGAAACGAATATTTGTGCTTATGGTTAAATGTTTTTCTTTCGGCTTATTATTTACAATAATTGATTTGCAGAAATTACTTGTCTTTTATTCGTTGTCTATGGTACGTATGCAATATGAAGTGAATAAGTTATTGCACCACAAGTTTTCGCAAAAACTCAAAACCTATTAAGTTTTTTGGCAAATCTACAGCAATTTCCTGTGATTGTAATACTGGGAACATGTTCTTCTACCTTTAGTGTTAACAATACATATTGACAGGTTTTTCGTCACTTAGATTTATGTCATTTAGCAAGATTCAGACAATATCTCGTTCCCGTGAATCGTAATGTGCACAACAATTTTTAACATGATATGTATGTTGTGTACCTCAACATACATGGATACTATGTCATCTAAAACCAAAAGATTTGGATGGATTTAGATGTTTAACTCGAAGAGACCTATATCTACACAGTAAGGCCTTTACAAATATTGATAATACAAACCATTTATCTGCAAAGATCTGATATTTCACAGCGTATATGGTAGTTCATCGTGTTGACGTAACTAAGGCGGGTAAATTTATCCGATTTACTTGAAGTCCAATATCTAAATATACAGAATTCTACTCATTTTCTTGTTATGCATACCCTCCTTACTCTATATCTTTACAATCCTGTTTTCTTTTCGCGTACATCTATTTTCGTATTCATTTATATGCGTTCAGATAGATGAGGTAACTTTATGACAATATTCAACCTAATCTGGTTTGGGTAACCGGGTAGTATCACTAGGCCTTACGTTTAATGTGGCTCGCACTCAATTGGTTGATGAATGAGTTGATTGATACCGCACTATAATAATCAATGTGATCTATCGGCCCACCTATCCGTATCCAAAATAAAAGCTCATTAACAGACAACTTATGAAAAATAATATCAACAGCATAGACTTTCATTCAGTATTTCTTGATAAATTTTAATCCCGACGAAACTGTCCGTATTATGCCACTTGATATTACAAGGTTTATGCTTATTTCGATATCATTTAAATTACACAACATGCCAACCTATGTGGGTAAGACAATTTTATTCTAGTGGTTTTGGAGTTTATTTATTTAAACACATATTAATTAGTACAGCAAGGCGCCAAACATATATGCACCACACAATTAGATGATTCGTGTGAGGGCTGGAATACTGTCCAAACCGAAGCAGGTGGTCTGGGGGAGTTAATCGAAATGGCATGTGATCATATTAACTTGATAACTACTCATATCAAAGCGCACTGTACTCCGGAATCGCCTAACAAATGCTGGGTCTATAAACTAGTAATCGCTTTTTTATCATGCTCCAAATGGGTTATTTAAGTGACTGATTTCGCTAATGATCCGTATTTGATTCGGAACGACCGTTTTTTTGTTAACTCCTTTGTCGGATAGCGTAGTAGACTGGAAAGCCGTGAAACTAAGAGAGTAGTTCGTGCAGTCACTGTTGGACTAAAACTCATTGTGAAATATAAACTTTCTAAACAAAGCTTGCGTAAGCAACGATGTGCTTTCTGCTACAATTTATATGATTGTCCTATTCAGGTTGCATCTCATTAATTTTTCTCGGCCATGAGGTGAGCTGTTGGAACTTGAAACGATGAATATTGGTACCACGTTTCACTGTCAACGAACGAATGTCCCATGGTGCCGGGACTAGAGAATATTAACTAGGAAGCTCGGAAACCGATAGTACTTACAACAAGATACCAATACGACAAAAGTCTAACATACTGTCAGTTTTGACGGAAGTACTTTACCTCACTCAGTCGAATGTAGCCTAGAACCTGTAACATATATGCATCGATCCAAGTTGGCAGACTATATAGTAGATGACTGGTAATAATAATAATAAAAATATACATTTGGACGTGAAAGGAAAACGGCCGTCATTTTATATAGATCTTTGCACATCTTTTACAATCCACTAGTCGACTAAAGTTCAACTGAGAAGCAAGTATTACTAAAGTACCAAACACAAGTTCGCTGGAATTGGAGACAACCAAACATATCGTTTCTAGCTATCCTTGAATGTATAGCCACATTATTGGCGAATGAGCTGGCTAACTTTTAATCAAGATTTATAATAACTGTTAGTCCACCAAGCCTCTATAAACAGGCAACCATTCTAGAAAGTTAGACATGAGAAATAGCAATTACGTGCACGAGCCAAACTTTAGAGTAAAAGGGTATCCAATTCATCTCGTCTTATAAGTAGTCAATACACAAGCATGTGTCACAAGCTGTTTGACTTAATGGTCGTGTTTGTACTTATTTCCATAATCATAAATATGCAGACTTTTTAACACGCTGTTACAATTGTGATCCGACGAGTTACGGTGATAATGTAATTTGATGTATTTTAAGTGCAGCTGACGAGACGACCCTACATTCGTGGAATTTTTTAATTAATCAAACCTTGTTAAGACAAAAATTACTAGGCAAATATGGCTACGTACGGAGTAGGATTGGTCGATCGTAACATTTGACTAACATGGATGAAATAACTACTGAGTATCCTGTCTCATTTCAATTTGACGTCTAAAGGGACAAAGCTGGACCACTCAAAATGTCATGGATAAAAGTTCACTAGCTTGGTGAAAAGAGGAAACTAATTAAAAGCTTAAGCAGCTAATGATAATACTGGTACAACTCGTACATCTAAAGAAATCTGTTATTTGAATTTTCAGCTTAGTAAGCATTCAAATATATTCGCAAACAGTCTCAAATATAACTACACACTGGTACCACGAAGATTCATAAGTTAGCCTCACTGTAACTGAATGAGCATTATTGTACTATGACAACACATTATATACCAGACAATTAGGTAACAGTATGCACGAACTAAGTTTATATTGGTGATTTGAGGGTAGATGCAATCGACATTAATTTTACATCAAATGGAATATGAGAAGCAAACAGTGAGAAGACATGCGGGATGATGTAGATATATGGATATTTTGATGCATATACAAATTCAGTTACTCGATAAATTAATGGAGATATCAAAATCTGCCGGTAGTTCTTCCAGTACCACGAACAGTCGCAACACGTCCACGAACAAAAGTGCCACGCCCGCGAACTTAACGGTGAGTTACTTTTGAACTTTAGAAACTTACCACCAGCCCTTAACATGGCATTCTTTCCTCTTCCCGTTCCTAAACCCTTAGCACCCTGTGGACGTTTCAACATCGGTGAGTTTTTCAGCATATCAGGAAGGATAAGGAATCTGAAGAGACAATAAGTTTTTACGAAGACATACCGAATTTTACTGCCTCGAATATATACCTGTTGAAGGTTTGATGTACGACCGTCACGGGAAGTCATTATTAGATCACACATGTGAACATTCATATTATCTTCCGCCTCAACAAGTTTTCCACGGAAAACTTCACCACTAACAGTTTCTAGAGTAACGACATGTCCCTCGGCATCGTGTAAAACTTTGATAGGTATCCCAACTGACATTGCCTCCACGAAGTTTCAAAGACCGCGCCAATTACCTTGATGTAAATACGAATTTTATTGGAACTATTTGTATTGTGTAGGAGATGGGATAATCTTTCATTTGCGAACCTGCAACTATAAGATTAGTGTTTCAGTGTTACTTTTAGGCAGATATTGGTTACTAACCCTTACGTTCATTACATTGTTTACCAGAAAGCTGTGAAATATATTGCAATTAGTTGAATTTCTGGTATTACTAACTTTGCAAAACCCACACTCTTCCAACAGATAAACTGTGTCCTCGAATGTGCAGCTTGTGACCCGTCCGGCTTGACAATCAAGCAAATTATGGTTTGATTTAGATTTAGATTTGTGTAGTAAGGATAAAAGGCCTACGGCCTATGTTATTCCCTTTCTAGTATGTTTCTGTGAGTGTCCAGTCTTCTCTTGAATGAGTCAGTTGAAGGTGGGGACACCACTACTCTGTATAACAGGCTCCAAGTATTACTGACTCTGTATGAAGCCCCGTGTGTCATAGGTATTTTGTTAGTTCTTGGCTTTTCTACTCGCCTACTATGTCCTCTGATATGTCTCGGTCTAGTGAGAAGAATAAGAGAGAATATGTCAGGCTCATAATCATTTCGTGGTATTTTATACATCCAAATTAGATATCGCCTCAGTCTGTGATAGGACAGAGTAAAGAGATCAAACTTTTCAAGCCGCTCCTTCCATGGTAAACCCCGGAGTTCTGGAATTGCACGGGTACTGCCCTCTGTATTTTTTCCAGGATATTGGTTTAACTTACGGGAACTTTGTGTCAAAACATCTTATTCATCTTTGAGGATGATATTACTCCAGAGACACTGTCTATCCACAAATGTTTCCTTAACTAGAGCCCCCTGAGACGATTGAAGACTGGTCAAATGGTGACCGAATGGCATTAATCAAACTAATGATAAAAGGGTATAAAGCTTGAAGATTATATTCTGCAACCTAAGTTTTCACTATCCATCAAATAAATGAACTTGGAGTCTGTCATCACGACTTTCATAGATTTCTAAACAACTGATCATAATTTGAAGTTCAGTCGTACGCCTATAGACAAGAAATAATAATAGTAATGAAAACGTAATTGGCCCCATTCGTAAGGGACAGTTGCAGGAAATTCAAAAGATTCTCAAGTTTCATGTAATAAATTACTTCAGTAATTAAAAGCAGATTATCATTCAGCGGTAAATAAGTCACCAAAATAAATAACTCTATAAGTCTTTAACACTGATGGTGACTTCATTAGTTTTACTAGACATATCCAGCTGAAGGCACCTGATCATGCACCTGCACCAGATCACGAGTGGGTATGACGTGTTACGCAACCCTTTCAACTGTTAGGCAGCTTAGGCTAAACGCTCCCCAAACATTGATAGTTTTCCAAATATATCGTCAAACCACTTCATTTCTGACTTCTGATTTGACTGGTTTGGCATAATTCAATTATAAAGCCACCACGTGTAAGGCCTCTATGAAAATCCGAATACCTGTGGCGTCTTTTGCCTCTTACCTAAAGTAAATATATACACTGAATTTCGGTGAGGAATATA